ACAAAATTTCCTCTTCCGTTAACTTTTCGTTCATTTTTTTGCATTGTTCATTTATTTCCGTTTCACATTCACTCGTTTAATCATTACTTCTCTTCCTCATCACCATTTTACAACGACGACGCCTATCAATACGAATATGCGAATAAAGTCATTCTGAATAATGCACAAATCATTTGCAGCATTCATCAGTGCACAAATCTATTTGCTGATCAATCAATATATATTCAGACACATTCCAAAATGATTATCATTTTCAGCTGGATTAACTCGTTCGCGTTCAATGTATGATATAAAACAGAGAGAAGTGTTGTTTGACGTTTCAAAAATTGAACTGTAAGAAGAAATTTTATTCTTTAGATGGGACTGAAAAAATACAATCGAAAACAAACAAATGAACGAACAAAACCCAATTTCCTTGTTGTAATAATCCTCAAAAAATGCGTTCATATTAATAATAATGATAATAATAACAGTAAGAAATGTAATATTATTAATATAATAATAGCAGTAATACCGATAATAATGGCAATAAAAACGACATTCATAATTATTATACCTCTGACGGTAACAATAATAACTGCAAGCATAATATCAATTATTATGTGAACAAATATGCGTAAAACCATCAAGAAAAAATAATGATAATAATAATGATTACAATAATAATCCCAAATGTCAACAATGAAATAAGTATAAAATGTGATAAATATGGGAATAAAAGCTTAAAACAAAGCATTCATTTGAACAATAAAAATGATCAATGATCAAAAACATTGTCGATAGAATACAACAATTCCAAATCTATATTAATATATGATAATACGAGTTGTTTACGGATAATAATCACCAAACAGAACACGAGCAAATACATGTATAAACCATAGGATTTAATGAAGCGCTACTCGGGCGATCGAACGCGAAAATAATGACAGCGTTGTGATAACGATAACAAACACGGAAGTATCAATAATGATGATAGTAATGATAATAGTAATAATAATAATACAAACAAAAATGGTAATAATCATAATGCCGATAAGATATCAATTCATAACAACGAAACCAACACAAAATGCGCGTCAGTCAACACAAAACCATTCGAGTTCGTCGTTTCAAATAAAATTTTACAAAGAGAAATTCATCGAAAAGGAAAGCTTCGAAAGCAATTCGTTGTTATGAATAAATCTGAATAAAACATGAAGATGATGGCTGCTCTTTGAGAATGCAACAACTCTGTGAATAAATTATTCCAGATGAACGCACGACATTCATATTCATAGGATGAATAAGTAAATCTCACGATGAAACCTAACCGAGCCATCAAACGCTGAAATTAAAATAGCAGCAAAATCATATGCAATTGCAATCTTAATCTAAGATGGCAAATGGAGAGAGAAGATAAAACGAGACGAGATGAGACCATGCACGTAAAAATGCTCATATTCTACTGAAATTTGCAGTTTTATTTGCTTAAAATTAGTTGCAACGAAACTAAGACTCAATCCAATCTTCCCAAAAAGCAATCATGATTCATGATCAGTTTTCATTTCAATTTGCAACCTGCAAATATCTTTCAAATCGACAACTTTTATTTGCTGTCTTCGAAAACTGTGACCACTTTCACGAGAACTTTAGCACAAGACCAATAGGCATTGGACATTGGAACACTAACAACATTAACTGAATTAGACCATTCAGTCAATGAACAAATAATAATATAGATGTGAAGAGTAGCAAGTAGAATTCGAGTAAAGAACATATTCATTATAACAAAATAACTTTGGATTCATATAATGATCAAATGGTAGTAATAATAATTGAAATAAATACAATCGGTTCGGTAGAGACTACAGAAGCGTCGCACATCAATAAGGGGAAAGATTCTCTTCATATGCTATAATCAGTGGCTCACGAAAGCTTGGCTCATTCATGCACAACTGAAAATAACACGATGAAAAAATTAATCTACCCAAAATGAATATTTGTTCAATCTTATAACAAAAAAATTAGTTTCCAAATCAATCATTAGTTTCACAGTAATTCAATTCACGTCTACCGCTTCAAGTAGATTCCAGACTGTGATTAGATGATCGATTCAATTCACTTCATTGTTATCGTTCACTCATCAACCCCACAAAACGCTACCGATAATGAGTTTTGTTCCAGCTTACCAGCAGCTATCACTTAACCATTCTTATCTTGTCACTTCAACAATAAACTTTCACTGAATCCAAGCAACCACTGAACCACAATTTCTACCTGTCATATCAAACGACAACATTCGTTCTTTTTCCAACCTCTACCACCTCTCCTCACCTCCATTAACAATTTCAAATCGACTTTTTAATTCGTATTGTGACACACACAAACAATTGTATCACCTCACAAAACATCACTTCACCGATCAACTCAGATCTTCAAAAACTGTTCCTGTTTATCGAATATGAAAATGATGTAAATAATAATCTCACTTATCTGACGGTTTGATCAAGTACTCAAATGGTAACACGAAAGCAAAAGACAAAATGAAAATTGAAATTTTC